ATATGTACAAGTTCCTAAAGCTAAAGCAACGTCGAAAAATAAACAAAAATCACGTACTTTTGGAAAGATTTGTCACTAAATAAGGAAGACAAAAGGCAAAATCAAGTTAGAATACAATGTGATCGTTAGCTGTCGCTTGTAATATTGTCAATCATAGAAACTGAAAGTAGTACTAAAAGCAGATTTTCATAACAGTATTACATTCATTTACCTTAAGATACAATATTTTTGCGGATAAAAGTAGTGAATCGGATTCGCCTTGAAAAATTAGTTATGTACTACGAGTTCGTTTACTAGCATTCTATCAGTGGCTCACAGAACTTTTAAAATAAAGTCTTCTTCATAACACTGTCACAGCAAATTCGATCAAGTTGCACCTTGAGAATATCTCAATGTGGAGGCAAAAACAGAAGTGTATTATTTCGCCAAAAGAAAGATCGTGCTAGTTAGTTTACACAATATTTGACTGCGAAGATTTGAAGCTAGACATTAAGGAGCATGGTTGGTTTCAAAGTAAGACAGAAAAAAGTACAACGAACAATATGGTAATTAGTGCTCAAAGTACACATTTTTAAAGATTCACACAAATAATATTTCGAATATTACACTATTCACTCTTAGACTATCAAATGTGATGTACAACGTTGTATAAACGTTCATTTCGAACTTTGAAATAAATACTTAATGCCTGTAGTAGCGTATTACGTAGACAAATCGAGAAGTTTTTACTATAGTCGTCTTTGTTGATTGAGTTCATGATCTTGGTTCGGACACGTTGCAAATATTATGAGTTGGTTTGATCAGGTCGAATAATTTCAATATCTTCTGATTCAAGATATATGATCTTTTATATCATGTCTATCATATGTTAGTCTTTTCTTCGGGACTTCCTTAATAAGAAATTCTAAGTAATTATCGATGTAATAGTGATAATCAACGGTTTTTTTTCTTGATCGACGTATAAATCAACATAGGATCATTTTTTTGAAAATGATGCAAGGTAGAGTTTTTGGAATAAAGTAACTGTGTGTCAAGCCACAGCAGATAGAATTTCTTCAATTAATGTTCAGGTAGTACTAATTGATTTTTGACCAATGTGTTAATGACTAAAAACCTTGACTCGTCACTTGTCCTTACATCATATAATCGTTATGATCCTTGGTGGAATTTCACCAAATTTTATTGACAAAACAGAACTCGTTCAGCTCTTTGAGCACCAATCAGTAAGTGAAATACACAGCAAATAGTAATTACTATTTAGATTTAGGTAACCAGAAATAATTCTTCGAATCATACCACGATTCATACCTGTTTTCATTTATATTCCATCAATCGTAAAATAAGGATAATTATTAACATCTCTTCTCGAAATTGTTTTGTCTATTTAGCAATAATATATTAAGATGGAGCTTGATCACTGAAAAAGAAAATATAATTTATCATGAATTGATTTCGATTGAATGTTAGGTGCAGTGCGTAGGCATCTTAATAGAGATACAAAACTTTTTCTTATTCATCTAAAAATAAGGTTGCATGATTTTCAATGAAATTTTCTATATCATTATATTATTCAGCTAATGTTGCTATAATAATAACATGTAGAGCAGTCAAAGTACTACGTATATATATATATGAACACAACTTTTTCTCAAGCTTCTTGCACTTTGATATGATATCAATCTTGATATTTTTGGTATGTTATAAGTATAAACTAGTTGTGTACTCTCATTCTTCTTTGAAATAGAATTTTTTTGTATGAGTCATCCATACATTTATTACCTATCGCTAACAACTTTTTTCTTCTGCTTTTCTTATTCATTTGTTTCAAAACATCTAGCACAATATTGAAATAATAGCAAGCATAAGTCAACTACTCAATTGCACATGTTTTACTGATCATCATTCTTTATTGATAATGACACGATAGGATAATAAGATTTCTTTTTTCTTATAGCTAAAAAACAAAGATCTTGGTCTTTGTTTTCAGTAGAGAAATAGTATTTCGTTAATTATATGATCGGACATATGTGTCGGAAATGATCGACGTCTTCTGAGCAATATTTCATCAATGAAGAGTATTGTTCAAGGACGATTTCATGTTGAATTGATGAAAACATCAACATATAATCAACAGATAAAAAAACATATGCAAAACAAAAATAAACTAGAACAATATGAAAATGAAATTAAAATACCGAGTTTACTTTAATCAATTAAATTCTGTTTATAAATAAAATTATAATTTTTTATAACTGATAAAGTACACACTAGTCATTTTTCAATAGATTCTGTTTTCTTTAGTTATTGGTTGCTGTGTAGTTGATTGTTGCTGATAGCATACCGAATGGGATTAGATTGCCTGATGTCAACGTTGATGTTGTTTTCTTTTTTGCCATGCACACATTCATTCACATACAAAATCAGTTTTTTCCTTTGCATTCGTTACATTGTATTTTTTTTGTAGTCATGACCAGTTGGCAAAATATTCTTGATCATTTGCCTACTGGAACTAGCCGACCAGCGACTCAAAATAACAATGTACCCACTAATGAATCTACTCATAGAGCACCTAATAACAATAACAATACTAATGACCATGAAGGTATACATCTTGCTTAGAATTTTTGTCGTAGAAGAAAAATTAAATTTCTATTATGATCAATCAATTAAATTGCTACTAAATATTCTAATTTTATTTCTATTCTAAACATACATTCTATTGATTAGATCCATCTCGTCCTCGTCAAGCGCGTGAACGACAATTAGTATTTCTTCCTCGTAAACGTAATGTTGCTCCTAAATTCAATTTACTTGGTTTGAAACCCACTGAAGATTTTCAACCACACAATATGGGCTTCTTTCAACCACACGGTTTAGGTTAATAATATTGTTAAAAAATTATACATAAAAATAATATTGTGTTTGACTTAACTCTTTAGTTGAAGATGAAACTACATGGAAAAAATCTCTTCGAGATTTGGCAATGTCACTTGGATTTATTACACAATATGAAATTAATCGAATTCAAAAACCGGCTACTTTATCTAATTTTTATGGACCACCATCAACAACAGGTAGTTTACGTACAAGTGCTCCTTCAACATCATCAGGTCCAACACCTCGTTTTAATGAACCATTACCACCACCAAGTCGTGGAGAACGAATCTTTGCTAAAGGATATGCTAAACCTACATGGTATTATAAAGTTGATGATCATGAACGAGAAGCTTGGGTGTGTCTTTTATTGATATTTCATTCTTTTTTTATTTTTATTTATGAATATAGATGTTACAAGTGCTGTGTCAAATTTTGGGTACAGATGATATATCTCTTGTACAAACATGGCTTGCTTCATCACACAAAGCCGGTGCTTTATTTTTCGAATTTGCTTATCAATAAAAAAAAATATTATCAACTTTTTTTTCTATATAGAACGAGATTTAGCTCGTCAATTGATTGTTCGTGCCTTAGATGGTCTTGGTGAAGGTGATCGATTTCGAACCATACTTCCTTCCCTTGATGTTGACATGGATACACTTAATAATTTTGTCAACGGGTTTGTTTATTTTTTTTTCTGTCATAAAATCAGTTAGAAAATAATAATAATAATAAATCTTTTATAATAAAACAAAAACTACATTTAGGATTTCAGTTCCTCAATTATCTGTCGATGGAATCTTTCGACCAACCCTTAAACGGCCAAAAAGAAGAACTCAACTACGATCATTAGATGAAAACAGAACTTTTCAAGATACACGTACTGATGAGGAAGTTATGGCTGGTAATTCATGCATCTTTCATTTTATTCAAATCTTTTTTTATCATTTATTAACATTATAGAATTTTCAAGTCCAACATTAGCTGTCATGCAAACAACACCCAATAGTAGTGGTGGAGCCGGTGATACAGCTCGTCTTCGTACCCCATTTCTGCCACCAATACCAGCTCGATGGATGATGCATAATGATGGTAGTTTTCGAACACCATCAGCTAAAAAAACAACGAGTGAACCTAATTTATCACGAAGTCTCTCATGGACAAATTCATCCTATCCAACGAATGCCAGCTCCGTTTTTACATGACTTTTCTTATTTAGGTTTTACTTTTCTTACTCTAATAATATATATTCGCGTGATTATTATTTATATACTCATAACATGTCTTGACATACAAAATTCTCCTAGAGTAAAGTGAAGAAAAACATTGACAGATCAATAATTAAACACACAATCAATAAGTTGATTGTCTTTGTCAACCTTCATTCTTATTAACTTATTTCATGATCGAACGATTTGCTCTTTGACATTAAACTAATTTGATAATAGAACAGTATACATTTTTAGTCTTCTTAAAATAGATAATACTTCATTGATTGTATTGCTATGAGAATTACGTTAGTTTTCGAATTCAAAGAAAAATGTGTCTGAATGTCAGTGTTCTCAGATTTGCGAACTGATCAAGGACGCAAAAAACCTATAGAACTCTTATTTGTTTTTACTGACATCTACATCATTTGAAAGCAATCATGCATTAAGTCAGTAGCTCTTTGCAAAATACAAATTAATATTATCTTCTAATTATATTTGAATAAAAGTTTTCAAATTTAAAATAGAGAAAATAAGAAAATTTTTCTATATTAAAAGCATAGTTTCTTGTTTTTGTTCATATTATTTTAATGATCAATGTAGAGACTATGTTTCATATAAATGGCGTCTAGTAGATAAAATGTGGAATTACAGTTGTCCTCATTAGAAAATAAAAAAAAGTAAACGATAGTGATTGTTATTACTCATGGTATTCTTATATATTTGATTTAGAAATAAAAAAAATATTTGCTTATATTTTAGATTATTCTATTCCCTGCTACCTCTTCCAAAAAAAATATTTGTCTATTCTCTTAAAAAAAAACACGTTTCATTTTTCGTGTTTTTTTTTACACGTTTTCTTTTCCCATTGTATTATTGTGTGCTGTGTGTGTCTGTGTGTATTAATATAGAAGAATGAGCGTCGCAGCGGCCAGTGGTGCCGTAAGCACGCAACAACATCAGCCAACTGCAGAACAAATTCGGCTTGCACAATTAATTGATGATAAAAAACATGATCAACCTGAAGTACAAGAAATTGTTCGAAAAGTTCTTGATGTTGTAGCGAATTCCAGTGCAGATGATGCTTTATTAGCTTTATTTGATTGTGATTATGATTTTGAAAGAACTGTGGCATTACTTATTGAAAAAGGTCATGATATAGCTAGTGAATGGCGTACAGCAACAAGTCATAAAACGACTAAAAAACAACAGCAACAAAAGACTGCATCAACTAAAAATGGACATAGAGGAGAAACAGATGAGAATGCACAACAACGAGGCAATGGTAAAGATAATTTATTATATACATTTTAAAAAAATTATTCTTAGATGGTTCGACTTATCGAGGAAAATCTCGTGGCAGTGGTGGTGGTGGTCGATCGAGATTTCAGCAACAGCAAGAAAATGGAGGTGATTCTCAAAATAATAATCAACAACAACAAAATGATAATTATTTACCACAACAAAGATATCGAGGTGGTAGTGGTTACCGAGGTCGTTATCGTGGCAGTAATCGAGGTAGTCATCGGGGAAATGATAGGAATTATCAACAACCCCAATATGAACAACAGCCACAAGATTCAAATATTGATATTTCAACGTCAGATACGACACAACGTTTTACTGATGTATCACATACAAATAGACGAAGTGGTGGTAAACAGCAACAACAATGGGATGTTGGTAAGTGGAATGGTGAAACATTAATTTATTCGAGATCTGCAAAAGATGATGAACAATCTGCAAATTCAGACAATAATAATAATATATCTCATGTTCCATCTGGAAGTAATAAATATTATTGAACTTTTTAAATGAAAAAAAAAATAACAAAAGAAAAACTCATATTTTTATTTTAAATTTCTAGTGCTCAATGGTCAGAATTCATCAGCAGGAACCTCGACAGTAAATAATGTTTCTGAATTAAATACTCAACAACAATCGAAAAATGAATTTGATCTGGTAGAAGCAGCTCGTCAGATCAAAAATGTTATTGGTATTGGTCAATCACAACAACAACAACATCAAAATACTTCACTACCTAAACCTTTAATGGATTTAAAACCATTAATATGTGATCAACAAATAGGACAACAACAGCAACAAAAATCGAATATAATATCATCAAAATCAACTGGTCAAAGTTTAAATACAAAAGTAACACCCCCGCCACGTATACCACATCAACCGGTGATTTTTTCTGACCGTTTTGATGGTGGGGTTAATAAAATTGATGTACAATTTGGTAATTTGGGTGAACCACTTGAAGATACATCATCACAAAATGTATCTGTACCGACATCATCTACATCATCATCTGCATTTTATTCGCATGCAGAACCAATGACATCAGTAACAAAACAAAAGACTGGTTCATCATCAGTTCAAAATCCTCAACGATCAACAACAACTACTAATTTAACTCGTTCATCCGAACAACAACAACCAGTACTAAATCAACAACGTATAATACCACCACAAATTCAGCAGCAACTACAACAGCCTTCAATGACAATGAAACCTGTTATACCACAACAATATGCTGTACATCATCAACAACATCAAATGAGTCCACAAAATTTGCTTTTACAATCTATACTTTTTCATCATCCACAACAACAAGAGGTATATATTCAGGAAAAAAAAACAATAAACAAACGATTCTTATTCGTTGTTTTTTTTAATAGCCGGTGCCATTGGATACTTCATATGATCCAACACCATTTCCATTAACATCAATGGATTTTAATACATCATATTTTATGACAGCAGCAATGAATCAACAACCACCACAACAAACTCAACCACGCTATCTTCTTCCACAACCAGCTCCACCACCACAACAACAACTATCATCCAATCGACAGCAATCATCTACTAATGTACAAACACCACCATTGACGACATCATCATCTGTACCACCTTCATCAACATCAACGACATCATCTACAGCTCCAAAAAAAGGACCAGCTGTTCCGCCAGGCATGTTTCTTTCGACAGCACCACCAACACAACCAGCATATTCAACAGCTTATTCGACAACATACGGAGTTCCACCTTCAGTTGGTGGACAACAACAAACAGGTTCAACAACTTATTCAACACAATATGATACTGAACATTTATTTGCAACTCCATATATGCAGTTAGCTAATGCACAACAAGCACAGTCACCATCCGGTACATATGGTTCAGTAACACCACCTGTTCAACCACAAAGTCAACAGCATCAAACACATAATAATAATGATAATAAAACAATGAAGTATAAATAATAAAATACAAGATTAAGGTTTTCGCTCATGTCTAAACCTTTTTTTCTTTTTTCTTTTGTCTTAGTTATCGAGCTGCAATTAATGAAAATCTCTTATTTTTACAACAGTATCAACAATATGCTATTCAGCAATCGAACAGTCAACAACAAGGTCCACAAGCAGCACATTCACCAGCTCAATTAAATTATTTTCTTGGACATTCAGCTAGTGGACCAAATTATTCACCTGGTACGTATTTATATTTCGCAAAGCAACAATTAGTCCCATGCTTGACAGACGTTTAATTCTTTTTTCACTTGCCACAAACTTCAATTTACACACACAGCATCGTGTGAAGGTGACATATGAAAATTGAAGATATGATCCATTGAATGGATAAGTAAAGGAACTTACCAGTAAACGGTAACTGAATGTTGACATTTGACTTGTTGAATTTATCGAATTGTTACCTGAAGATGAAAGCTATATTCATTGAAGAAAAGCACAGCATGCAGATTTTTTTAAAAAATAAGGAAAAATTATATAGATTATGAAAACATTTTTCAAATACTTATGTTTCTTGTCCTTGATTGTCACAGCATTGCGATCTGTTCTTGTAGATGCATATATTGCTAAGAAAAAAAAAAGTTCTCTTATTCTATTCGAATCTATAGTAAAAATCTTTTCATTTTTTTTCCATTAGGTCCTCAAATAATGTATGCTCAAACGGCAACAGCTATGGCTCAACAACAACAAGCTTCTAAACAACAAGGTCAACAATATAATCAAAATAATTCATCATCAAATATTGGTGGTAATGATGATTATTATGGTCGTAATTCATCATCATCATCAAATAAAGAAGCACATTATATGTATGCCGTATCAGCACAACCTCAGCAAGTTCCACCACAATCAGTTGGTCAACATCAAGGTGTGAATAAACAACAACAACGTGCTAATAGCAATGTTTATAATAATCAACAAAGTCAACAACGTCCGTTTCAATAAATATTGAGCGACCTATTGAACAGCACATGAATTGTGTTGATTTTTTTCTTTTTCGTTTTTCTTTTTATTATTGCTGATGAAACTACTAACGTGTGTGAGAGTGTCTCTAATTTGTAACTGTGATTTGATCCTTTCTTTATTCTCTTTCACACTGGGCACAGCCCTTTCTTTTCCTTATCCATATTCTTATATTCCCTAACTTGTATGGTCTTGCTGTTGTTAAGCGTGTTTTCTTCTTCTTTTTTTTTTTTAAACATTAAGTTTGCACTATTCTTTGTCTCACAGAAAACAAAAGAAAACATTACACACACATATATATCAACATACAAACGCATCATTGTCGTTTTTTTTCTTTTAATGTAAATCCAGGCTCTTTTTTTTTCCGTCATACTTTTCTGTTGGATTGTTTAGATGTCCTCTTTTTCTTTTTTTTTTTTTGCAACGTGAACATGAAACAAACAAAAAGTGTACAACATATTAAACAAGGCAAAAAAAACCTTTTTTTTTTATAATGGTTTCTTTTATGGTTGTTCATTTCTTGTTTTGGTTTTGTTTTTTAGAAAAAAAAAAATCATTTTTTCTTCTGATTACATTTAGACCCGAACACAATTTAGTTTGGGTCTTAATAAAGACAAAGCAAAAAACCAGCAAAACAAAAGCATCTTACACATAGTTTATTATTATCTCTATGCACGGCAGAGATTTAAGACGAAATCACGGTGGTAATTATAATAATTATGGGTATGTAATAGAAAAAAATTTGTATACAAAAGATAAAAACAATGTTCATCATTTTTCTTTTGTTTTGCACCTCGAAAATTCCGATAGTCAAATTAGAAGCAGCATGAATCATTTTTAGAAATGACAGAGACTAGAAATTTGACAGATAGTTTTCCAACCGTAATTCGAAATTGTCGTAGATACGATGTGAATAATGGACGTGTCCACGCCCAGCTCTTTCCCTATCCAAGAATTATGATTGAAATTGATTTCTTTAGATATCAAAATAGAAATAATAAACGAAGTGGTCCCGTACGTAATCATGTAATACCAAGTGAACCTCCATTTACAGCTTATATTGGTAATGCGCCAGATACAATGGTACAAGGTGATTTTGAACATTATTTATTTATTGGTCTTAAAGTAAAACAAGTTCGATTAGTACGTGATCGACAAACTGATCGATTTCGAGGTATTTATTTATAATTGATTGCTTTGTTGTTGTTTTTTTTTATATATATTGACGCTTGATTTAAAATTTAATACTAACATTTTGTTTTGTTTTAATTAATTAAAAGGCTTTGCTTATGTTGATTTTGAGGATGCGGATTCCTTACGTAGTGCCATCGCATTGGATGGAACGGTAGATAATTATGAAGAAAAAAAACAAAAAATAGTTTTTATTTTTTGCGATCTATTTTAGTGCATTAATGATCAACCTATTCGAATTGATGTTGCAAGTCGAACACTTGGTGGAACTAAATCAGAAGGATTTCGAACTAAATGTAAATTCTATTATCATCATCTATATGAAAGATAATTTGATTTGTTTTTTTTTATTTTTTATTAGCTGGTTTTGGATCACGCAATGATCCTCGTCAACAATCATCAGGTCATAATAACAATAATCGATTCGATGATGGATTTCGTTATGATAAACAAAGTAATAATCAACAAAAAATGACTGAAGATATTGATAATGGTTGTTATGAAAATGGATATAATGATGGTAAGAAGAATTTTTTTTTTTTTTATATAATAATAAGTGATCGAACTATTCGTTGAACTTTTCTATTTCTTCACTCATTCATTTTTTATGCTTCTTTAAGACTCATATTTTATGAGAATAAATTGTCCTAATATCTTGATAATATTCTTAAAAATAAAACTAAATATAATTTTTGAAATAGAAATAAAAAAATTATCTTTTCTACTAAATTATTTATCATTACATTTTAACATTACGTAAAAGATTTTCTTCTTTTAATTAATTGCCATTATATATTTTTTTAATGAATTAAAAAGAAAAAAAAAGTATATCTTTTTTTTCTTTTTAGATCATTATGATAAAGATAATTTAAATGAACAAAACAATTTACATCAAATCAATGAACGACAATCTCAATCAGATAAAGAACAAACATCACCAACATCACGTAAAATATCTGATGATGTTTTTATTACAACAAATGACAATGAAAATCATGAACATATTCATACTACAAACATGACAAGACAACAAACACGAAATTGGGCTGATTGTCCTATTGATGATTCTGTTGTTGATACATCATCACCACCATCCATTATTAAAAATATTTTAACTGACGATAATGTTGATGATATTCAAGTATGAACTTTGTGTTCTTCGATTTTCTTTTTTTTTTTCGATTTAAAATATATCAACAAAATGAATGTAATTTCTATAGTTTCTATGTGATAAAACTTCAAAATTACATACATCTTCACATTTAATGGGAAATCAATCAATGCGTGGACGTAATTCTCGTGGATTACAATCATCACAAATATCAAATAATGAACGTTTATATTATGATCAAATGTCATCATCATATTCAAATCAATCTCAACAATATTATCATCATCAGAATTCTCAAGTACAACCACCACCTCTTCATATGGGTTTATCATATCATTATAATCGAAATCAAACATCATTAGGATCTCGACAAAAATCAAATCCTCATAATCGAAATTATCGAGATGAACAATCGAATAGAGATGACAAAAATTTAACATCAACAACTAATAATAATAGTTTACATGATACGAATATGAATACAATATCATTTGGTATAATAATAATAATAAGAGAAAATAAATTATTTTTGAGTTATTGGTTATTTGTTTTTTTGCTTTGATATAGAAAATCGACCACGTTTACAATTATTACCTCGTTCACAAAAAGTGTCATCATCAGTAGATGATAAACCATCTGTAGGACCAGCAACACGAAATGTCAGTATATTTGGATCTGGTAAATAAAATAAGAAAAAAAAAAAAAAAAGATTTTGAGTTTTGATTATATTGGTTTGTAAAAAAAAATAGGTAAGCCACGTGATGAACGTGATCCTAAATTGGCTGAATTAAATAAACATATTGAAGAAATAGTTGAAAAAGAACAACATATTCCTCGTACAATATCGACTACATCAAATGAATCGACAAATAATATTGTCAAGTATGTTCCTTTAATAACATTTCATATAACAAGATTTGATTTTTTTGCTATTGAAATTTATCAAATAGATCATTTAAAGTCACCCTATCCTCATCAAGTATTGATCTTGAATCAAGCATATTTAAATCACATTAAAAAAAATTTCATTTGTATACCATGATATTCGAAAAAAATATTCAACAAACAGGAGTCCAAAATAACTCAGTTCGCAACCCCGAAATTTTCAAACGTTACTGTTTTAGAAGGAGAAAAAAGAATGAAAAATTCAATGTCTCAAAAACATGACACTCTAATAATAAAAGTCCTCTTTTATATAATAATAACAAAGCTCAATTCAAAAAAAGAAACTCCTACATCTTGGCATGCTCTACGAAACAAAGTAATAATCGAATGGATAGAATGAAGATCCACAGAGAATTTTGTGTGATATAATCGAAAAAAAAAGCATATTTTTCAAGCATATGATTAGAGAAATCATCCAAAATTTTAGCTAAAAAATAGAGTAATAAGTAAAAAAATGATGTTGTTTATCAAAGATTAGATTACCAGGTATCTTTTCGTGCATTTATTTCAATTTAGATTTTTCTGACCAAAACTAAGCTTTTGCTAAGCGAAGAGGCTCCAACACATACTTACAGGGTAGTCAAAAGAAAAAGCTTATCCTCTGATGAAATGTGATTTCTACACATATATAAGATTTAGTTTTTGAATCGATATCTTTTGCGATAGATAAAGCTGAGAAAATACGACTAAATAAAAAAGCTTTTATATTGATTGCATTCACTCGTAATTGAAGCATCAAGTTTAAGTGACTCGTAAATGTTTACGCCAAAGTAACTGTTAATGAACGTTTTTGCTTGCTTTTCTGTGAGAGTCTAAATATATACGGAATCACCAGAAAAAGATTTGTCAGACTGCAAGTCAAGTTTATAGTTAAAATATTTTATAGTTTTCAGCAAATCATCTTATGAGTCAGAATATAATCCAAGAGAAATGATCCAAACAAAGTGCTAATCGCTGATTAAATAAATAAATAGAAATGAGTATCAAAGGATTATTTCATGTCTGATACTATTAAATTCTGGAATATTCTTTTCTAATTTGAGATCGAAAACATCCGGAAAAAAGTTACCGAGACTGGAATAAAAAAAACTTCATCCTGCACATCTACAGACGAAAGTATTCCAGCATAGATTTCATATTCAATGAATTCTATTATAAAAATAGTTGAACAAAAGAAAAAGATTAATTCTAGTAGCGTAGAAAAATATTGTAAAAAACATATTAAGTTTGTTTTTCTCCTATAATTATTTCATATAACGTGTGTTCACAATGTTTTTAAAGTAATAAACATTTTAAAAAGCTTCTTAAATAAAACATTGTCAATGATGGTTGACTTTTTATAGAATTCTATAAAAAGTCAACATAAGATTTAAAGAATATTTTCTTTTTTGATTTGTACGATCTTTCGTAAAAATTTATTTTGTTTAGTAGAATTTTCTAAACACTTTTTACATTCTACGTTATTCATATAAAATTTTCTTCATTATTAATCTCTTCTCTCGAATAATCTATATGAGTAGTCAAATAGAATGAAATGTTCTTATCTTAATAAAACTATTGAATTCTATTGTTAATCCTGACTGAATAAATAATCTTTAAGATCAAATGAGAATCATATTTGTTTTTTAAATAAATGATTATGATAGAAAATTATTAATAATTTTTATTTCTTCTAGGCCGGTGCGAATATTAACTGCGAAATCTGAATCTTCGACTGATCATTAAACAAAGAAAAAAAAAAAAAAAAAAAACCTTAACAACCTTCTTTCTTTCTCGTTTTTTTTTTCTTCTTTGTATTTTTTCCGTTTCTTTGTTGTGTAATTTTACTGCTACACATATTTATTATATGATGTGTTGCTACGATTAATTGTTCTTTCTTCATTTTCTTTTTCTTTTCTCTTTATTTATCTTGTTTGAAGAAAAAAAAAAAATATCATTTATTTCATTATGCGTTCTTTTCTTTCAACGTTTAATATACAAAAAACAATAGTCGACTTGTTTCTGTCTATGAATAATCGAAATACTTTTTATCGGTTTTGTTGTTCTTTTTTTTTTGTTTTTTCGTTGTTGTTTTTGTGTATAATCTTCCTTTGCACATACCGTATTGTACAGTTCGTGTTCTTTTTTTTTTTGCTTTTGAAGGAAAAAAAAAAGAAACTATGACTCGTAAAAAGAAAACGGAAGTTCTTGCATTATTCTTCTCGTTTAGAATTTATTTCGATGGCAGCAACAACAGCAGCATCGAAAACAAAATCAGGCAAACCAACAAATAGTCCAACACCACCTAATAATTCAAATGATACACCAATTACTGAAGAAGACTTAAAGAAAAAGGATACACCAATTACTGTAAACGATGTACTTCGTTTAAAAAAACCGACGCAAGGTATAACAAAACAAAAATTAAGAGTTTTGATAAAGATTTTGACAAAAATTTATGTCTATTCTAGATTATCTAACTGAAACAGATGATAATATATATAAAATTGATTTTATTCATTTTCGAATTCGTGATATGAAAACAAACAAGGTTCTATTTGAAGTTCAACGAGATCCTGGTATGTATTTGTTTGTTTGATTTTGTATTTAATTGTAATTCATATATTAGATGATGATGAGGCAATGGATGAAGCTGATCCATCAGCTGGTCGTTTTGTTCAATATCAGTTTCCACCAACATTTCTTAAACTTAAACAAGTTGGCGCTTTGTAAGTATAATAAAAATAAAATAATAATTTTTCTACACATTTGAAACATTTTATTTTTTATTCCATTGAAATTATAATTAATTCTCTGTACGATAGATCAATTTTTGAAGATTATGAATGAATTTTTCAATCAATTATTTAGTCTTTCTGTTTTACAGAATGTAGAATAAGATATCAAACGCTTTACCAAAGCACGACAAAGTGTCATCCTATAGAGTGATCTTTTCATTGCATTTTGGAAAAAGATAAAATCCTGGTTATATAAAATCATTGAAATTGATGTAAGATTCAATATGTAATCAATAGACAACGAGAAAGGGTGCATTTTCTTTCTATTGCTTTTTCTTGAATTTCTGATAAGAACGAATAAATTATATGTAATCGATTGGACTTGGTGATAAATATGTTCGTCATCGAATCAAAGCAATCCAATTGAGCTAAATGATCTTCTCGAGGAAACATTAGTCATTGCTATGGCATCTACTCTTGTAATTACTGTTCTTAATAATGGTAAATCACGACGATTTTCACTATGCGACCAGAACTTCATTGGTCCATGATCCATCAAATGACTTGAATGTTCAACAAGACTCAAACATTATCCTTCAGAACATGCGTTCTGTGACGTTTTCTGTTACGGATGAAACTATTTTAGATTCCATATTTCCTTTTTTGGAAAATTTAGAACATTTTAATAGATTTTTCATTGTCGACATGTTGATCCTTGGTATTCATGTTGTGAAAATATCAAACATTTTCTTGAACATTAATGAATGAAAGATTACAAGTGAACAAACCATTCCCAATAATTCTGTTCTCGTAATAATATTGACAATTTATTCAGTATTATTTCTTTGATATATTTAAAACTAAGAGTGATTTTCGAAATCTTAACGATATGTTTACTTTAATTACAAGATTGAATCATCATATCAATATGTTATTTTTGTTTATTATTAGCTTTCCTACAGATGAGCATACATGTTAATCATAAATTGTTCTTTATTTTATCAAGTTCAAATAATAAATTTGAGCGACCTCTATTTTGATAATTGCTGTCGAAACTTGACATAGTCAAACATAACTTCATCGTATATAATACGATCATTGTAAACAAAATCAATATTTTTCCTCTTAGCAACCAATGTAATAATTTTTGCTCTACTAATATATATATATGTAAAGAAAAAAAAAGAAGAAATTTCTTTAAATATTATTGATTTATTTATTTTTTCCTTCAGAGTTGGTTTTAAAGTTGGTGATCGTGAAGTAAAATCTTTTCGAATGATTGAACGTCATTTTTTTCGTGATCAACTTATTAAATCATTTGATTTTGATTTTGGTTTTTGTCCACCAAATACAAAAAATTCAATTGAGCATATATATGATATGCCAACATTTGATTCTAAACAAGGTAAATAATTCTTTTAATATTTTTCTGATATATTTATTTATTTATTTATTCTAGTCAAAGAAATGATTGAACATCCATATGAAACAAAATCTGATAGTTTTTATTTTGTTGACAATCAATTAATTATGCATAAAAAAGCAACTTATGCATTTGATATGGATTATTCACACTAAAAATCGTCCTGGCTTTTTTTTTCTTGATTTGAATGTTTTTGCTTTTTTTTTTTAAATAATTGCTTTATGTTTTTTGAATGATTTTGTTCATATATATATATATATTTGTCTAAATATTTTTTGTCTTTATATTTTGTTTAATCATGACATATAAACATTCCTTTTTCTTTTTTTTTTTTTTTTAATTTAATTTTCTTTTCCTTTTCTTTTGTTTTTGGATAATTATAATCATGAAATAATGGATCAATACGATTGTTTAAATAAAGCTCAATTGAGCTTTGAATATTTGCATACAAATTCAACAACACATACATTTCTTTTTGGAGCATTAGCTGAATTAGTTGATAATTCACGTGATGCTGGTGCAAGAAATCTTGATATTTATACATGTAAAGATCCATCTTTACGTGGAGGTTTTTATTTGGCTTTTTTGGATGATGGTTGTGGAATGCATTATGGTAAGTTTATCGAATAGGAAATGTTCTGCACGTGTTATATAATTTATTTTATATGATATGATATTTTAATTTCGTTGTTATTTTCAAGTATAATAAATATAACTAGTCTTATTCATAGTTTTCTCTATTTGTTAGACGATGTATTCAATGTAATCGTCTTTGGTAAATCCGCTAAACGTCATGCTCCTGATTCGAATCAAATCGGTCAATATGGTAATGGTTTAAAATCAGGTGCTATGCGTATTGCTAATGATTTTATATTATTTACAAAAAAAGATAATATTGGTACATGTTTATTTCTTTCACGTTCATTTCATCAAGAAGAACATATATCACAAGTAATATGTCCAATGCCATGTTTTGATTTATGTACACAACAACCAATTCAAAATACTGATTATCAACAATTAAATGGTACACGTACATATACATATGATAAAACAAAACATGAACTTGAAATGCGTTTAATACAAAAATATTCACCATTTAAAACAATAGATGATTTATTTAAACAATTTAATTTAATAACATCATCAAGTGGAACATTAATTGTTTTATATAATGTTAAATTATCTGATAGTGGTGAACCTGAACTTGATATTAAAACTGATCCATATGATATTTTAATTGATTCTAAAAATCGACGAAATTTATTTGATGATGATGATGACAGGTAAACATTTGATTTCTTTTTTTATTTTGCAAAACAAATTTCATTGTCATTTTTTGTTTTTTAGTATTCCATTGGAATATCGTTCACTTCGTGCTTATGTTTCTATACTTTATTATGAACCGCGTATGCGTATAGCAATTCAACGACGACGTGTCATAACAAAAAAATTACCACATACATTATATAAACCTCGGCAATATCAATTTAAATCTACACGTTTTAAAACACGTTCAGAACAAGAAATAAAAAAATGTGAAAAAGAACTTGCATCATTAGAAGAACGTAAACGTGAAGCTGATTCACAAGTTCATCATCTTCAACAAACAATGGGTATAACAACATCAGTTGAAGAACGTGCACGTTTACGAAAATTACAAATTACTGCAGCTGAATTAAAAGATATGACAATACGTTTACGTAATGGTCTTGCAAGAAAAAAATCTGAAATGAATACAACTAAAACATTAACTTTTATTTTTGGTTTGAATATTCAAAATCGAGCTGCTGATGGAGTTTTTGTTTATAATTGTGGTAGACTTATTAAAATGTATGAAAAACTTGGACAACCTAATAAAAAAACTGTGTAAGTTAATATATTCTATGTTGTATGACATTTGTACTTAGCCATAAGCGATAAGACAGAAATAACTCAATTAGTTGGTGATATCGAAGCATGCCATTATGTTATCTAAATATACAATGCATTGCATTACAGAAAATAATTATCGATTTAATGTATCTATTGACACATAATACTCTTTACACATAATATAAGTATGCGCGAAAAAACAAGAGGAATATACATTTTACTTAGTCTCATGAGAAGACGTTCACACCTGTCTGCTCACTTTTCACTTGAATGTGACTATTGCTATTCAATTGATCTTGATGAATCATCAAAGAGTCAGTTTTGATTGATTTTTTCGATCTATGCTTGTCGATCTATGGGTATTCTTATTGTGTTGCGGTTTATGAGCCTAAAATTCATACAGAATCTGGATGATTAAAGTTTGTGTCAGATAAAAATGCATCCTAATGGAGATATCAGCTTGATATGATATAATGACCTTGTTTTGAAACATAGTCTAAAACAAACATTTTTTTTTCTAATGTGAGTATCTCCTCAGCAATAATGTGTTTGTTCTGGCTCAAACTTTGGACTAGTTTCTAGTGAGTGTAAGAGAGAGTTTAAACACGAAATTTGATCACTCAGGTTATGTCACAGACTTATTCATTATTCATCAAGATCTATTGAATGACAAAAGTCTCAAGTACAAAAATGATTCGACAATTATGAAC